ATTGCCCAGCGCATACCTGGCTATAGTGAAGCCAGCCATAACATTTGCTGGAAAATCAAGTCATCCTTCACTTTTCTTCCCTTTGAAGAAAGGAGCAAAGTTCATCCTGTAAGGTCATTTAAGTTGACTAACAACTAAAGCACTGCTTAGTATCACGGCTTTTGAGTTACTGTTGTCCAACTTCCTGCCCAGCCCTGGTTCTGGTTGTGGGGGACATCCCCAAGTACCCAAACTCTACACTCCTTTTTTGGGGGAACCTGTCAGCTACCGTTCCCTCAAGGGCAGGCTGGGCGGGCAGGCACATTCAGCACACACTCCTCTTCACTTAAGTAACAGCAGGAACCCTCTTTCTGGCTGGCAAAAACACATCAGCAGGATGAAGAACTTGTTAAATTCCAGACTGTTTCAAGTCATCGGTTTAATACTGAAAGAGTGATGGTGTTGGTTTACTGCACAGGACCTTTAACCGCCTGCATGCCTGCCAGCTTGATTATTGGGCTGAATGGAAAGAATAAAAACCATCAGTCATCTCTATCCAAAACTCACACAACCCAGTCTACTGCTTTCAAGCTTAAAAGAAACAGACACTAAGGTTTAATGGCATCTACTGGCCAAAATAAATATTCTGTATTAATTCCTCAGCAGTGGGATGAATGAGAGGAGGAAGTGGCATATTACACTGCAATCTATTTAACTGGGACACAGCCAAGCAAACCATGTGATGGGAATGAACGCTCCAGCCAAGGTATCAAAATAAGGCATTGTAAATCCTACCCTTCAGACACACATCAGGGTTCACATCCCTCTTGGGAAGTTACTTCGGTTTCACACAGGCAACAAAATACCTAGAGGAAATCTTATCAGATACTCTGTCCTGGCAGCAGATGACTATAGCTCTGATGCTTTTGATTCCCTCTTATTTTAATAAAGTATCCAATGATCAGCAATTCCCTCTGTTTCCTCTTCATCAGTTCTACGTCACAAATTCCTCTGTTTGACCTATCAAGCACAAAAAAGAGATTACTGCTTTGATTCTGTTCCTGCAGCCTGGGCTGAGTTTCCTCTCTGCAGCTTCAGCCCAAAGGTGAAGATTAAGTCCCTTTTCTGCTCCTTGACGTGCCCTCACGTTCACAGGAAATCTGTTGATGTACCGAGCCAGATGCCCTTTCTGTTGAGTTCTAGTTGCACGTTGAGGGGAACCACTACGTTAAAAGCACAGCTCTACAACCAAGTGAGAGAGACAAATCAAGACCCCAGTGCTAACACCACCCCGTTGCTCAAGACAGTATACAGGAGGCTCTGACAGCTAGATTTGATTCTGCAGTGCAGATGATACCAAGTAAAATAATCATGTACTCACAAGACACAGGAGAGCAAACAGCCCATGGAGAAAGGTGCAGGTAGTAATCACAGCATCAGTGGCAGCAATTACCACAAATTCCTCTCAAGTTATTGCCACTCTTGCTGAGCAACATTACACTCCAGCAAGAGTGAATTTACAGCTGTCCCCCGGGAACAGCCCACAGGGCAGCAGCTAGTTTTTCTGTACTGAAGCAGTGCCCTGAGGCAGTCGCTGCAGCCGAGAACAAACTAAGCCCTTTCCTGATAAAGCAGAAGGCAGCCCACCACTCTCCACACACTGCCAACAGCTGCAGGGACAAGCATCTCCCTTGCCTTGGCACCTCTGGCTCTCTCCTGAATTCTCTTATTTACCTTTTGCTATCAATCGTCTACGGACATGCGGGCTTAGCAGAACTCAAGAGCTGTACCAGAGCGCAGTTTCATTATTCTCAGCAGGTCAAAGGCGTATTGGGATTTCATCCTTGGTGGGGAGACAGAATAACAGGGAGGTACCTCACCTGTGCAAGAAGCATACCTTGCCTTCCTGTGCTCCTACCCTTTGAAACCCAGACGTGGATCAGGTCTCCAAAAACGCAAGCAAACAAGCAGAACTACATCACTGAAGGGCCTGTCAAGCCCATGTCACATGGGTTTGAGGACAGGCAATTAAGTCTCAGTCCAGATATTTATTGTGGTGAATGCCATGGACATGAAAGGCAGTCAGTCATCTACTACAAATATTGAGATGTCTGTAACAGCGAACAGAGCCAAAACAGGCTTAGACACAACAAACTGACTTCATGCAGTCAAGACTAGTGGAATCCACATTACTTTAAATATGCCTCAAACCATTCATTTAGCTAAAATCAGTAGATGTTGGATAAAAATAATCCCACGTTACTTCAGACAGATTAGGCACGTGCCAGTTCTCCATCAAGGGTCTCGGTTAACACATCTGATATCAAGACTGGCAACACTAATATTATCTTGGCATTACTTTAAGGCTTGGCTTGGAATAAGATCTAAGGGCCTCTAAGGTTAAGGAAAAAAAAAAGTTATAGAGAAAAGCTTATGTCTGGGGGTTACACAGACTCAGCAGTTACTAGACAGGCCATAAGTCAGCTGTAGTAGGAGCTGGACAATATCTCAACTCCTTTCAGCAAACATCACACATTTCTGAATACCAGCCAGTCACCAGCCATCCAGTGGCTTCACCAGCAGGATGTCTTAATGAAAGCCTGTTGTTCCACGCACGGACTGTGGACTCGAGCACACCAAGGACTGTTCCAGCGAGTCTAGCAAAGCAGTCTGACTTTGACCACTCCAAGACCAGCAGGCAATAGGAGACTTCTTACCTCTGTGTGGAATTTGTTGTCACACAAATACAATGACGTATTGATTGGTTTGAAAGGTTCAAAGTCAATGTTGACTTTCTTCTCTTTTCCTTCTTCTGTCACAATTGTTCCACAGTAAACAACCAGACCATTTGGAGGTACTATAAAAGACACAATGCAATTTTAGGTCATGAAGAAATAGTGCAAGCTGTACCCATCAAAAACTAACCACTAGGCCTTGAGACAAGGCAGTGTTGAAATTGAAGTTCAAGTTTTTTACTTTCCCTTTCCCCTACTCTCATTCCCTCCCATATCTCTACAACGGAAAACAACCTATTTTAGTGCACCTATACTGAACGGTTTAGAGCAGGCAATGGAAAGACTTAGAATAAAGCTGCAAGAACATGTCCCTGTCTGTCAAACCCATGACCCTGCAAGCTCACAGAATCCAGAAAAAGGCTGAACATCCCCATGAAGCTTTCCTAGTTCTTATACAACAATTTACAGACTGACCATCTCAATGAAAGCCACTTGCCAGCATAAAGACAGTACTGATGAACTCCTCTCCAGTACTCATTTTAGATGGGCTGGGTCTATTTCCCCCCCCAAATGATGGTAGCTGTAGTGGCATGCATAGGGCATACCTAAGTTTCTCCTTGATGGAAAACCACTAGTTTAATGCAAATGAACTATTGGGGAATAGCTCTTAAGGCTGGCCAAGTTTAGAAGAGTCAGCACTGCTAAGGACAGAATCATGAGCCTGCTTATTAAAGCCAAGGACCATCTTATTATTCTAGTCCCAAGGTCTACCCTCGACATAGCCACCCATGGGCAACATACCTGGAATATCAGTGCAAAAGAGCAGCACAGGCCAACAGATCTGATTAGCAGAAAACTGCATAATACAGGAACTTAAGGCTGCTTCCAAGTAAGGGAAGTTTGCAAGTCTGCCAGCATCCATACAAGCTAGAAGTTACCTTTGTTATAGAGTTTCAGTCTTTGTTGTACAGATGTAATGGCTCCCAGTACTGAAAGGCGATTCACTCGAGACTTAATGTTGGAGGCGGTGCCAAACTCATCCGCTAACATTTTTGCCACTCGCGAAATCTGGTCTTTGGGGGGAATGATCAACGATATCATGCTGGTACCATTGCTGAGGAAGGAAAAAAAGAGGGGTTGTGAGCAGCTACCAAAGCAACAAGTGTATCCATACCATATTCCATGCACGCAGCTGTCCCTCCTCCCTCCCCACAAGGATGCTTCACTTCACTGTTAATTCCCCTTCTGCTGGACAATAATGGTAGAGAAAAGAAAACAAAACAGGATCTTCAGAGGATTCAGCTCCATAACCAAACGTTCAGGTTAGCCACTACCAGGCAAGTCTTCCAAAAGCTGCTTGCTTAACCTGGGATGCTACTCGGGAAAAAAGAGAACATATGTACAGGCTGCCAACTAAAGGCATCTACACAGTCCCCAGCAGAGATTATTTAAAACAATGCAGCCACATACTTTAAGGACATTTTTAAGCCCATTCCATTTGTTCTCAGACAGCTGGAGTACTAGCTAGTCCAAGCGCAGTTTTAACACTGTGTTCTCCTCAGATTAATCCTGAACTGGAAGTATGCTTTTGTAGTAGTTAGTTTTTTCTACCTTCCCACTAGCACTTTGTAGAGAAGCTCACCAGCTCTGGCAGCTGCTTTAAATAAAGTGTGCTTAAGCACATGGCTGCTAGTTCAGAAGCACCAACCCCAGGCATGGAGTCAGGAGATAAGACCCCACAAATCACAGAACTGGCTTAAATTAAATGAAAAAAGTTAAGTTTGATATTAATTTTTCCTATGGCTTTGGGATGGATCCTGCAGAGGTCTTAATCCCCAAAGCAGCCTCGTGGTTCAAATCCATCCAAAGTCAAAACGAAAGTCAGGGAAGTTCCTGTCTGCCTTCCAGCAGGTACCTCCCATTTGCCATTGAAGTATCCCAGATGTCTGAAGCGCTGCTCCTGCACTGTCTCAGATTTAACCCAGACTTCATACTTCACATTAGAGTAATGGCATAAAAATCAAATACCTCATCATGTCCTCTAGCCCTCTCAAGGGCAAACCAGCTAAGCTCTGTGAAAAAACCTCTACTCAGGATTCTGACTCAGAGAAGCAACAAAGTGCTCTTCAGCCATTAAAAAAAAAAAATAAAAAAGGTTTTGCTCTTTTACATTTCTTTTGGCAGGAGAAGACTAACACAGTACCTGCCTGCTGCTGTTTCAGCTTGTCACGCACTAGCATCCTGCCTGAAGAGTTTGGGCTACAGAGACAGCAGGGAAGTGCTTTAAAAAGCATCACTTCATTAGCCTCTTTACAGAAGTTGTACAGCCCTCTTCCAAAGATCTTCAATTCAGGCCAAGTTGAAATGGATGCTGGTAGGTCAAACAAGTCTCTGACCTTAAAGACAACTAATTGGTTTTAATATCCAAGATCCCCATACACGCTAATCAAGAAAATCGCAAAGAGACACTTGCACACATTATTCCCAGAAGGAGCTTTGAGCCATGCTGACAGCTCTCAGACTTCCAGGTCACACCAGCCAAGAATACTCCATACACCACTCAATTACAGCAGTTAGCTGTCCCCGTGAGCGGCACAGGCCTCCGGGGAGATTTAATGGCCTATCATTCCCAGCAGGCTCCTGTGAGTAGGAGGCTGATCACAACGAAAGCAGCTCTTCCCGACTTTTTTGAAAGTATCACTCTTGAGGCAAGCTCATGCAGTTCATTTCTTCCTCCGAAAAAGGAAGAGATTCTCCGACTTCCCAGAGATTAGAAAGCTCTGCACATCACGCCTAACTTGCTGCACAGACTCAGGGCGTCCCAATGTGGCAGGTGGGAGACGGGACCGTTATGCCCCTTGGGCACTCCATGGCTCTCCTGCTGGGAAGAGATTTCATCCCAATTTTCACATATTGAGGACAGAGGGGAAACAGCAGACAGCGAGGCAGGGGAGGCGGTGGGAATAATGAGGAGGAAGACAGGATGTGCCCACCCAAGACCAACTCTTCAAGTAAAAAAGCACTGGTAAAGCTACCTTCAGTTTTGAAATCCCAGCCCCTGGCCTGGTGTTCTGTTCCACTGCCCCAGAATCTCTGGCACTGGCAGAGCCGCTGGCCAGAGCGCAGCTCTGCGTACTGGGAGCCGGCTGGATTGTGCCGAACCCACGCCTCGAAGGGGCCACTGTAACCGGTGACTATTTGTATTACAAACAGCATCTTATCTACAAGGCAGCCACATACGTCAGTCAAATCGCTGTTCCTTAGCAACACCCTGCCCAGAGCACCCTACCCGAGGTAATACAGTGGACTTCGCAAACCCTCGTGATTTACTACTGCCAGCGAATAAATGAAAAGGGTCTCTTAGATTATATATTCTCCCTCATTTAGGTCTCAAACTAGTTTAACACAGCACTGTACTGTGCTTGGTCCAACGCTTCAGCAAATTCCAGCCTGGATTTATATCCAAAAACACCTTCCGTGACCAAGAGCACCATCAAGAGCATTTCTTGGGTTTAACGTGCTTTCACCGCTATTTACTCAGCCAAAGCTATTTCAGGCACTAACCGATTCCTGAAGAATCCAGCAAAACAGCAGGCACACAGCCTGCCACAGGAGCAGCGGCAGCCGGAGCACCTCACAGCATCCCAGGCTGCTGGAGCCCGGAGCACGAGGAGGCAGCGGGCTTGTCACCCGGTGTCCCCAGGCACCCAGCACCCCAGGGGGGCAGCCCTGCCAGCACACTGCTGCTGCCCGCTGGGTACAGCCAACCCAGTCAAGGAGCTCGATAGGCAGCCAGCTAATTGCAGGCAACATCAGCACCTCCTGCTCATCTCCCTCTTCCTTAAACAAGCACATGGTCAGGATCTGATCACTGAATTTGCTCATGTCCCTGAGAGGCTGAGACCAGCACAACACTCGCTGAAGCAGATCTGCACACAGGTGACCAGGACAGCTGCAGATCCACCTCATGCACCACCAAGACCTTGTTATCCTGCCACACAAGAGCAGGTTTCCCCTCTCAAAGCAAGCTTGTACCTGTATGTGACCTTACTGCAGGATGGCAAGGTCTTAAAAAAAGGAAAACAAAAAACAAAAACCAAACCTACAACCTGTGGTTGCATCTACTAAATTCACCACAGTGAGACAAAATGTAGCAATAAGTTTCTAAGAAAGCTGCTGTTCAAAAAATACGTAGAAAAAAATAGGTTTTTCTGCACAGTAATACAATTTCCAGGTTTCCTATTGGTCTTTGCAGCCACTGCGCCTGAACAAGACGACAGGTATTTCTGCAAAATCCCGTGCCTCGTCCTCCTCCAAAGCTGCTAGATCAGCTGCACGTCAGGTTCTACAGTAGATTTACTCTGGGAACGAGGTAGGGGAAATCATGCTGCCTACAACCTCCCAAAAGGGGTCTTCCCAAACAGCAGACCTCCAAAACCAACAGGCTCTGCTCTGCACGAAGCACACAGGACATTTGCTGCCTGGCAGGCCATTGCCAACCACCAATCCAGCAGCAAGCACTGCCAGACAGAACTTCATTACAGAATTGTTACAGTGAACAATTAAGTCATCAATCTAGATTAAGGGCAGTGCTCGCACTGGCAGCTCGGAATCCAGTGTGCAATGAGCTGTTCTTCCTCGGATCACCCCCAGCACTCCTGCAGGAAGGATGGACCCAGAGCACTCCAGATTCTGTTCTGCTCAGCAGGATCCTGAGTTCAAAATGCAGCATTGCTAAAAGGCTTCCTCCCCTGGTTTTAGTGCACCCAAGACAAATTATAGTACATTAGCTGGAAGCTAATGCTTTCAGACTGAACCAAGCCAGGAAGTTTTACGCAGCTGGAGACAGTTGCTGTCCCTATTCTGAGCTAAGGAGTGCCCGCATAGCAGCCAAATAGCTGCCACTGTAATGCAAGAACATGCAGCAAGACCCAAAAAGCTCCAAGAGGTTTGCTTTGTAAGAAGCCAGCATCCCAGACCACAGGACAGCACAACGTGTGCCACCACACAAGGAACCAGAGAGAACAATTAAAAGCATTAAGGGCACCTGTCCACACACTACAAAGAAACACAGGAGCAATTCAGTGCCAACCTCTGGAAAGGTAGAAGCAGTTCTCTCTCTGGGTGCTATGGTTACTGCTCACACCGTGCCAGCCCGGTCAGTAACGGGCAATTAGCTCAGACTGAGCATGGCCTGGACGGTACCAGCCTTAGGTATCTCTAGAAGATGACGATCAGGGCTCTGACTGCTCCTAAACCTCTGCAGGTGGGCTCCAACCTGTCAGAGAGCTGCTTGGGGGAAAGGAGGAAACAAAAACAAGCATGTGGATGCCCCATCCCTGGAGGGGTTCAAGGCCAGGCTGGATGTGGCTTTGGGCAACCTGGGCTAGTGGGAGGTGTCCCTGCCCATGGCAGGGGGTGGCACTGGATGGGCTTTAAGGTCCCTTCCCACCCAAACCATTCTACAGTTCTATGATTCCAGGTTTTGCTCTCTCAAGACAGCAAATTCTTTATGAAATTGAGCTTTGTGGATAGGACAGCCTGTTCTATTATTAAAACTTCAATGTTACTACAGTTTGAATTTCAGACAACTGTACCACAAAACAGCTTTCCCAGTCACAGACAGACCCAAGAGCAAACATTAACAAGTTGTCACAGTGAGTGGCAGTGTGTGCAGCGCTGAATCATCGCTAACCTAGCCCCAAAAAGCTGAAGGAAAAAGTTTTGCCAATACGCCTGCACGCAGCTACTACAGCCTCCACGCAGCTCATTTTCCCTGCAAGACCCTAAGAGGTATCACCCGCCAGCAGCTCACAGCTGCGGTACCACAGACCAAGAAGAGACCCACTGGGTTCAGAAGAAGAGCAGGGATTTCCCAAAAGACACACCAGCTGGATTGCTGTGCCGAGTCCCAAGCCATGTTTGGCACCAGGAGCGGTGCCCGCTGCGTACGCGTTGTATGGTTCAGCATGAGGAAGCCACCACAACAGAAGGCGAGCACACAAAGCGAGCAGTGGATCACATTTGAAGCAAGCTGCCAAGTACACCCCATGGCTGGTTTTCATTACAGCTGGCAGTTGAGCCTCCTGTTCTGGGTGGCCGTCTTCATCTCCA